TAGAAATGCAAAATTTGGCTAAGACCCCGCAAAGCCAAGAACCTAAGATTTACTAGGAAGACTGGGCCCTATGTGGGTTGCTTACGTATCACGCCCCGAAAGACGAGAATCAGTTATGCGTAGTTCGGGCAGATTGGATACGGGCGAGAATTAAAAAAAACAACTAATTTAGAGAAAATATGTTTTTGTCTTTTTTTTTTTGAAAAAAATGAAAATGTAAACTCTTTTTGAATTTTCTTTTCCCCCTTTTTCGATTTTTGGAAAATGACGAAAAAGTGCAAAATCTTTTCTTTTCTTTTTTTTGAATTTTTCATGCTTTTTTTTTCTTTTCTTAACAAAAATGTGAAAGAAAACATAACTGGGCCTTACTTGCTTTATTTTCACACTTCACCCTCTTTTTTTATTTTTATTTTCATTTGCCCTCAACTATCATTGGTCCGCCAAATGACCCTTTTACCCTTGAAGATTGCAACACGTAGCACATATGATGCATCATGATGGTCTTTTATTTTTTGTGTACACCTGTCCTAGACGGACCCAACCCCTGTGTTGAGTCCCCTAAGTCAAATGCACATGATGCAAACAACGTTCCTACTAGGGATCTGGCATGAGGCTATGTTTTTCTAGGTTTAAATCCTGGGGTTGTGTTCTAGACCTGGCTTACCCGAGCAGACAACTCGAGCCGAAGAGGGGGGCAACGTACCGGGAGCACTGAAGTCTACCCGGCCTTGTTGCTGGCTCAGCCCCATTCTTATTTGGTGTAACTTCTACAGAAAAAATGGGTCACGCGAACGTATGCACAATTTTCAGAAGACTAAGGACGGTGGCGTAAGAAGACAGTTATATACAATTCAAATAATATTAAAGCGGTAAACAGACAGCAGTTAGCACAAAAGGTTCACAGAATACAGTAATATTAACAATAAATGAAGCCAAGTAAAAATCATATTAACAAACTCGAATTCTTAAACCCTGAACTAGAGATTCTGGGTTCTGGTCCCCAGCAGAGTCGCCAGAGCTGTCACACCTCCTTTTTCTACTCCCGAAAGGGGTATAAGGGAGTTTTTTCCAATTTAAGTGACAATCGAAACGGAATTATTTAAATTAAAATTAGAGTCGTCACTTGGGATAATTTATGGTGTCCCAAGTCACCGATTTAAAATCCCGAATCGAGGAAGATGACTCTATTTACGGTCTGCGAACACAGAAATCTGGGTAAGGAATTCTGTTAACCTGGGAGAAGGTTTTAGGCATTCCCAAGTTCCGTGGTTTTAGCACGGTCGTTTTGATCATACTTGGCTTAATCAAATTGTCTAATTACTCAATTTTAGAACCTATGTGCGTTAGCCGCTTTTAATTAAGAAATTATCTTTAAACATGCCACGTGCACGTGTACCCATTTGGTTTGGCGCGTCAAAAACCATGTCACGCGTATGTGTCCACAACTAATGACGCTTTATTATTATTAAGAATGTTTAGTCGAAGTTGCGTGAACGCATACTTCGATTTTGTTTTTTTTTAAAAAAAATTATGATCATGTCACGCGAACATGTACACAATCACGCTAACTAGTAAAATAATGCAAACTACCAACGGTCCAAACTAAGATGAAAATTGAGATTATCCAATTATTGGTCATCTATAATATCAGATATTAGAAGCATTTTTCTTGTCTTTCAAGATTCCCATGTTTATGGCATAATAATACTACAAATCCAAATCCATGAATCTGAACTGAAACTAAGCAGTCAAGCGGAAACAAATGAAATCAACAAAACAATTCAAGAGCCACGACACTCCACTCAGTTATCTTATTCCTCCCTCTCACTGGAACTAATCCAAACTCAAAACAATGGTAGAAATGGATAGAGCATAATTGCAAATCCCATGAGCAATTCCTGAGGAAAACTGAAAGTAGCATAGCAAAACAATGAAGTCTCTGTTGTACTGATTGCTAAGACTGCTAAATGGCCTATGATATCTTATTCCAGTCAGCATAAATTAATGATCACAAGGGTAAAATATATTTCAAAACACAACAGCATGTTTGCTCTCTGCTACCAAGCAGGTGTGTCAAGAAGAATAGCCTACTTCGTTCCTTATATATAGTAGGAAGGTAAATTACTTTCATCCTTACTACACCTCCCTTACAAAAAAACGTTATCAAGTTAATCACCAAAGAACCATGGACCTCACGTATTTTCAAGTTCAGTATAGTTCCTCCCAAGACCTTTTATTGAATAGCTAAAAGGTAAAGCCTCCCATCCCTCATTATCAAACCAACGAATCACTGCCAAAACAGAGAATAACGAACACAAATGAAATAAGAATCAGATAGCAAACCAAGTTTAAGTCCATTTTGACATTGAATAACAGGGGATAAAGAATTAGACAAACAGGCAACCATATATCATTTGAAGCAGAGTGGGATAGAAGAGATGACCTTAGATATACATTTTCCAAATGAAATCTGAAAACGTTTAACAGAACTCGACGGAACCGCGATAGAATTTAGCAACGGACCTCGACACCTCGGATTTGCTAACGGACAGCTCGAAACCCAAATACGACCTCAATCAAACTCCATGAGCCGAGATCGAAACAGAAGTCGAAACTTTATGTATGAACAAACTCAACCAGAAGCTTTGGAAGAATAAAAATCAGAAGCAAAACCAAAGCCCCCAGCTTTCTTTAGTTCTGCGTGTGTGTTTACCGGCAGCAGGGATCTAAGCGACAGCCATGTCTCTCCACAATAGAGAGAGTTTGGAGATGAAGGGTGAGGCAGCGGCTCGTTCTAGCCTTGGAGCTCGTCGGTGAGTTGAGCTCAGGCACGAGAGGCGACCACCTCCATTTTAAGAGAGACGGGAGAGCTTGGAGGCTATTTTCATCAGAGAGGAGGAATCGAGTTTTTGGGGAGGCCCTTAGGAGATGTAGGATTAGCGTTTTTCTTTGGGGGAGGGAGGGTCCTCGGGGTTCTTGGTTGCTGCTGCGGGTAAGTATTCAGAATGAAGCAGCAGCAAAATCAGATCAAGGAAAACGGCTGATTGCCTTTTTTTTTTTTTTTT